GCTGAGCACTTGATACACAAATTGGAAAAGAACCCTAAATGAAACTGACTCCTCGACACTTGCGAAGAAGAAATGAAAGAGAGGAAAAGCTGAACCCGAATGTTGCGAAATGGACGAAGTGCAGTGGAGGAGGAATATAAAAGCAATAAACCATTTATCTTTGACGTCAACCCTTCACTTAATTTTGAGGTTTTTCCTAAACTTGTGCTTTTACTCACATCAGCTAATGAACGCTTCCTGAGACTTTTTTTGGCAAAGTGGTCAAAGCAATTCAAGTGTTAGTTTGGCGACTTAATGTGTTTGTGGTCAAAATCAGCATACGTCATTGAATGCGCAAGATTTTCAAATCTATTTTCAAGCCGATTTTTAAGGCACTGATGAATGGTTAGAAAACATAGCGGTAAACCAACATAGTTTGTACCGAGGAAATTGAAGCTTCATCGTTAGCATATGCTTTTCTTTGAAATCTGATAATTATTTTTTTTCTGTTGTATGTACGAAGACATCTCTTAAGATGGACCCTGTCCCGAAAATAAGGAAAATCTAACAACACACTGAAATCTTCGTAAAGCAAATAAATCTGATGCATTTAAATTGCCTGTGCACGTAACACTCCGTAAACTTTAACGTCTAAAAATCCAACCAAATCGGTGTTATTTTATCTTGTAACGAAACGTGGTATCAGGTAGCAAGGTGAGTGGGAAACAATGTAACCCGGCGTGATCAGACACAATAACTCAATCATCAACGAAAACCTGCTCAATGATATATTAACCACTCTCTTTCTTAGCCGTCATAAATATGTCCTCGCATCAACCTTAACTGATACACTTCTCCTTTAACTCATGTCATGTTTGCTATATTGCGTTTGCCCTTGAAAGGAACACTCACTGTTGTGGAATTTCCTCTAGGAGTAAAACCGTTCTTCATACACCCTTAAAAAACAATTACTTAAACAATTCGTGGTTTCCTCTCGTGTTCATCGTTCGTAAAATGCTCCAGC